CGTGATTCCGAGACACCGGAATTAGAGAGCGGTCGACCGGCTTCGTTGTCCTCTGTCAGTTCTCATATATTCTGTCAGCAGTACAGAAGTGCAGACGCCGTTTTCAATCATGGTCTCCTAGGCCAGGCCTTGTTTGCGGTGCAACAATCCCCTATTACCACATTCAATGCGCTCCAGTCGTCCGTATCATGTTCACTGAGAGGCTTACATGTGCTGCGTATATGTCATCACAGCGAGTAAGATTCGGTGTCAGATGATTTTTACCCGTCAGACCCTGTCCCTCACTAGCCTAACCACCATCCATCACACGACCGATACAGGTGGCTGGAGCTGGCGAACGAACCTGTTCTGGAAAGACGCTGACCTCGCGGCCATCTGTAACACTCATTGCACCACTGAAGGTCCTATAGGAGATGTCTTCGTCTATCCCAACTTCCGCGCGGCCGGTTGGCCACTGTCGCCATACCGTTGAAGATCGCACGAGATAGTCGCACCATGACGAGTCTACGGCTGTTAACAAGCGGTCTGGCTGCTCCTTCGTCGGCAATGAGTCTCACGTTCATCATGTTCAGAAATTCAATTGGGAGAGGCCAGTCTTCGGCACGGGCCTCGACAGGTGTGCTTATTTACTGGGGTAGTCTCCCAAGCCGCCACGAAGTACCTGTACGAGCTGTTCCGGTTTCAAGTCTCACTTGGTTGTTCCCGGGCTGGTGGCGGCACAAGGCGGGCAACACCAGCCATTCCAGCTTCTAATTCGCTGGCCATTCGAAAATTTGACGGAACAATTAAGGCACTACGTCGTGATTCCTTCCAGCAGGCTTCTATTCGATCTTCTAGAAACTTGTCTGAATCCTTCCATGCCATCCTTCTGGTCTCTTTGCAGTAGCTGAACTTCGCTGAGGCGACGCATGGGCCATCCATGCGTCGAGCAACTCTGCCACTATCGATATCTCATCTCGAGAAGTGCTGTGAAGATGTACAAGCATTCACAACCAAGCAATGACGGCTCCTCCAACTTCGCACGAAGCATGTAACGTCCCCCGAGTCTATATAACTCGTCGCCCGAGAGCGGACCTCTGCATCATCTTGCTGCCGGTACAGACCCAAAGCCGCGCCTGTATCACCTCGAGGTCAAACTCTGACATCCACATGGTCGTACGCAGCTGTCGGTCATCAATTTTGAGATCCAGCAGATGGTGTGCACGCATACATGTCGTGCTTCGCGCTCGTCTATCTCATGCGTCTGCTATCATTCGTAGCCTTATTGCTTTTTCTTCCTCGAAGAGGAAGAGTTGGTGGGGTCACGGTCCAATGACCTGACTTTTCAGTGGTCTTCGGAAATGGCGAGGTCCCTGCCTTGCGTCGAGGACCTCCCTGAGGTACACACCTGCAGAGCTCCAAAAGCTCGCCAGTTCGGTGCTGCATGAAAGATGAGAGAACTGGGGCCAGCTCCAAGCTCAGTGATTGGCTACAGTTGTCAAGTGAAGATTTTTTCCTTCGACGCCTCCTACATTGTTAGCATCCCGCGTCCTGCGACCCCCACACTTGACAAAATCAAATTGCGCCTCTCAGTCACGTCTATCAGATCTCCATCAAACGATAGACGCGGCCTTCCGTGAATCGGGCGATTCTGCACTGCAGCTGAACAAGCTCACCGGCTTCGGTGTTACATTGGGGCACGGCATGTCCGCATATTGCTGGAGATGAGACAAGACTAGTCGCCAACGAACAGCCTTGCAGTTTCTGATGCAGTCTTGTCGAGGCACAGCATGTCTTTCACACCTCATCCAGAGCGTCATCATCATGCTCAAGACGGCTAGCATGAATGCTCACCGTCGAAACATCCAGTAGTGTCTTACGTGGGGTTGGCGCCTACAGATGAGGCGTTGTGCCTGACCATGGAGTTTCAGCCTTCCTATCCAGCGGTATTGCTCTTTCAGTTCAAGTGACCTGAAGAGTTTTCATTGTCGTATTGCCCTATGACACGTCAAGGGACAACACATCGTTGTGATGCCGATCATCGCTTCTTTCTACTTGTTCTGATGATCCTCTACTGTATATTCTCAGGAACATTGCAGCTCTGCTGTGCCAGTCTGGATGGCACTGTTCAGGTGACCAACATAACGATCAATGATTTCTGGAGCAGAGGCTACCATTGTCGATCTGTTCTGAATCGAGAGGTACCACAGATGACGGGCTTCTCGGCTTCAGCCTCCAGGTTGGACGAATGAAAATCTAAATGAGAAGGTAAGTCTTGCCAGCTAACACGTCTCGCACGTGTTTATCGGCATCCACAGTCGTTTCTCCATCGATGTGGATGTTTTCGCTTCTGGCATAGATTGATACAACCCGTTGCTGGGCGCCCGGCTTTGAGAGTTCGTCTTGATGCTCCTGGAGAATCCGGGAATCAGTTGTGGTTACATCTATACCTATGCTTTGCGTTTGAGTTCTAGTATGACCTATTCCAAGGGATGTTTTTTATCTCCTAGATACCTAGCTCTGATGTGCTGCGGGCATAGTGCTGTCCTTGAGCCTCTTTAGGAAGAGCTAATTAGCAGCACAATAGCCATACGCTTAGCTTCTTTCCAGTTGGCTTTATCTAGTAATGATGCATGATGAATTCAAGTCCTAATGCGATATGACTTCCATGACGTTTGTGAAGATTTGCAGCCATGTTCATTGACCATCATTGATTGTCTGGGTGAAATGGTCTCATGTACAACGGTTCATTTGGAAATCATTCATGTCCTCGTAGAGTTATCTCTAGCAGTCTTGCACCACCAATTCTCTGGTTAGAGTATAGTTAGTCGGGGAACACACCCGGCGCCGTGGTGGTGCGGAAGGCAAATGTGCCAGCTGTGTATATTGAGGGAGACACTTCTCTCACCTCTTATCTCAAATTTGAGGTTGAGTGTTGTTTACCATTGAAGAACATGTAATGAGAACCAGGAAATGTCTTATCCGGTAATACACATATCCATCACCCGGTGATACCTAATGGCTCTGAGACAGGCCGTTGCGGGCCACTGCCGCATGGACAATCCCGGAGATCTGGGACATGATATCATCGACAATGTCGGAGGAAGGCGAGATATCTGGAAAAAAAAAAAGAGAGGGCGGAGATAAAGAAAGGTAATCGAGATTGGGGGAAAGAGATAACGGGACTCGATCGACACTAAGGTAGATTGGCGACGGCACACGATAAGAAAGGGCGGAACAGCAAACTACACGCATGGGAAGAAAGATATGGCTGCGGTAGTGTTGCATCGCATTGCGCGATGGACCAGCCATTTGACGTTTGGCCCCAACCAATCTTGCGTTTTAGGGCGTGTGTACACCATGTGGTGTGTGTGTGTTCTCAAACCTCCTTGCAGATAGGTCGATGGTTCATCCCATCAACCACCACAAACTTACCCTCGCCGCAAGCCACCATCTCCGCCTGGCGGGCACTAACGAGGGCTCTAGGCTTGGTGATTGGCATGCTTTGGTGTCCCGTGGGAAGCGGTCCAAACGACCGTGATGAAGATAGCTGGGAGAGGAGAGGGGTCTAGCTGTAGAGACGTCATCGTCATCCCTACACTAGAGGTGTGCCATGCCATGGGCATGGCGCCTTTCTCCGGAGGTCTGGGCGACATCCGGACTAGGCCCGAATGCAGCAATCGACGGCCGACGAGGCGTGCCGTACGGAGGCGGCCCAGGTCTAAACTAAGCTGTGTTGGGGACCGGCCGGAGATTGAAAACTCGTGGGAAAATCCTGTTATCAAGGATGCCCTACAGTAGATAGCCTCTGCCGTCATGCAGATGGACAGATGGAAATAGTGGCCGATCGAAAAGACCGTGCCGGTGCTGGCACTGGTAACTGTGACCTCTTCTGGGATGGAAGCTGTGCATCACATACTTCTGAACCAGTAGAGACACTTGGGCATATTCATCCCTCCAAGGCTGGGCGCTCACAGGTAGAGATTCCAATCTAGGTGGGACTAATATGAATTCAACGGTTGAGGAGAGCTTGGGTATCTTTGATATCATGCGACGACCTCAAAGCAGCTCTGTCAAGTACACACCTCCTCCATCCAGAGTTGAGAGAGCAGCTGTTTGTTCATCCAACCTCCAGCCATCGTTGCCCCAGCATTTCATCTTGTCAACATGGCTGTCAAGTTCAAGCGACTAGTTTAGTCTACGGCCTATCTTCTTCTTCTTCTTCTTCTTCTTCTTCTTCAATAGAGCGTGTTTATTACCTACCTACCTACCTTACCTGGCTTAGCTACTGTTAGCTAGGTAGGTAGGTGACGGCAGCTTGGAGTTGATTGAGGATCGAGAGCCGGCAGTTGGCCCGCCCCTTGCCGCGCACCCAAGTATATACTGTACCTTTTTTATCATGTCGTCAGTTCGTAGGTAGACCGGCTTAAGTCGCGGTATGCTCTGGGGGACCTCGGGTGGCTCGCTCCACCACCCCGGCTACCTACCGTCCTACCCTCGAGCTACCTAAGGTAGGTAGACCCCGCGGCGGGACAAGCTCGGGTACTGCACCACAGACACGCCAGCGCACCACTGAATTGTATGGTATCGTATCACCTCACCTACTTACTGGCTTTCAACACCGGCGTACTCTCTTCTCTCCACGCACGCTTCACACTCCCAAGTCTCAGAGTCGTCCGGGAGCATCCGCGTGCACCTGCCTGTCCTGGGAACTGCGCAAAGGTTGCAGTCCATCCCAATTGGCGCGCGTTACGCCGTCGGGCCACGAGAGCGACGGCTCGGCTTTGGGAGGCAGATCCATCGTGGATGCATGCAGGAGGACTAGGGCGGAGGTGGTGATCTGACATCCAATTCCTTCTGCCTCTCTCCCCCCTCTTGTCCTCTTGTCCACCACAGTATCAGTATTGTCTATCCCTTTTCCACCCGCGCCGCACCGCTCCGCACGCCGGGTTCATCCGAGGCTATCCATTCCGGCGACCGCCTTGCTGTCTCAACGGTGCCAGCCGCCGAATACCGACAACATGGCTCCGTCCGTAGATCCGACGCATCCTGACAGGTAGGTCGCTCGCTGATGCCATTCCCCACTGAGCCCGTTTCCCCTGTGCTCCCCGCATTGGTCCCCTTACGGGTGGACTTGCCCTGCCAGGCACGCATCGTGGCCTCATCTTGGAAAGTCTAAGTAGGGACATGCTGGTGTCATGGACGGATCGGCTGATCAGCATCACACTCATAGGCCGGTACACATTGTCTTTGTCGGGGCAGGGGCCGTAGGCTGCTTCTACGCCTCAAGACTACATCATGTAAGTGAAGTCTCTAAGCCGACCGCCCCTTTGCCAACCTGCGTGGCCTTCAGTCTGGGTATTCGGGTCGAATCGGCTTAAGGGGGTTGAGCCTGGAGATGTTCAACTCTACATCGTTTGAACATGATCTTGCTGACATGCAGCCCCTTTAGCCTCAGCACAACATTCACACCTCCCTGATCGCAAGGTCAAACTACCCGCAACTCTCAGCCGGCGGCGTGAAGCTGCAGACCCGCACCTTCGGTGACTACACCTTCACACCGCACGCCGTCTTCCCATCAGTGGCAGCCGCCGCCGTCAAGCCCTCTGGCAATGGCTCATCATCATCATCGCCTGGGCCGCGTCAGTGGGACTTCATCATCGTTACTACCAAGGCCCTGCCCGACCGCGGCGACGACGCTGCCCTGATCGCCCCGCTGGTCGGGCCCTCGTCCGTCATTGTGCTGATCCAGAACGGCGTCGGCGTCGAAGCCCCTTACCGCAAGCGTTACCCAACGACGCCCATAGTAAGTGCCGTCACGGTCGTCAGCGCCGAGCAGATCTCCCCCGGCACGGTGCGCCAGAACCGCTGGACGCGGATGCACCTGGGCCCGTACACGGACTCGGCGTCGACCGACGAGGACGAGACGGGCAGCGCCTCGGACAGCGACTTCCAGGACCGCGCGCGCGCGGAGCTCGAGCGGCGCGGCACGGCGGCCGTCGAGCAGCTCACGGCGTGGTGGACGGCGCTGGGCGGGATCAGGGACATCGAGGCGTCCGACGAGGTCGGCCTGCAGACGGTGCGCTGGCACAAGCTGACCATCAACGCGGCCATGAACCCGTCGGCCGTGCTGTCGGGCGGCCGCGGCAACGCCGACATGGTGCGCGACCCGGAGCTGCGCCGCCACCTGCGCGGCATCATGGCCGAGATCTGGGACGCCGCGCCGCGCGTCCTGGGCCGCCCCTTCCCCGCCGACCTCGCGCCCCCGGACAAGATCCTCGCCAGCACCGAGCGCAACGTCGGCAGCAAGCCCAGCATGCTGCTCGACTGGGAGCGCGGCAGCCCGCTCGAGATCGAGGTCATCCTCGGGAACCCGGTGCGCATCGCCCGCGCCAAGGGCGTCGAGCTGCCGCGCATGCAGAGCCTGTATGCCCTACTGAGTAGTGCGCAGCGGACGCGGGAGGAAAGGCAGCAGAAGAACAAGGGGAAGCTCTAGGTGGGCAAACATTTGTACTAAGTCATTTTGTTACATATATAGAAAGCATCTGCGGAAGGGCTTTGATAGATGAGTCTATTTTACAGCTATTCCCCCTTGTGTAAAAGTAGGAAGCGGACTGCTTCTGGCAAAAAGACCATTCGCAATCCCGTGAGCTAGAAGCTTCCAGCTGCTCTTGATGTAGCCCCTATCTGCTATAAGCTAAAGTGGCTCTCCTTCTCGCCCAATATTGTACAGTACATTATAAGTTTACAAAGAGCACCGTTCATCGATGTCTTGATCGCCGCGGCCGCATTGACACAAGCTACGGTCATGTCTGGAATTAGGTTAGTAATAGAACGCTTGCGGTTCAGGTCTGCGGCTCAGTACCTGAACCAACAGCCGCTCGACGGGATCTAAATACTCCTCCTCCTCCGCCTCCTCTTCTTCGTACTTGGCGGGCTCGTATGTTCTCTGACCCTCATACTATGAGGTGGAAAGGTTCAACGCGTTCAAATAGCCCGCACGTAGCATAGGACGAGGGTCAAAGCCCAAGTCATCATAAGTATCGCTGGTGCGGAACTTAGGGACATCGTCCGTCTTGATCTCTGGGGCGGCGCCTGTAGAAACCTCAGTAGCAGCGGCAAGATCTGCCAGGTGCTGGAGACCTTGAACCTCGGCGCCGGAACTTGTCGAAGGTCGAACCGTCTCGGCGATCTTGTCCCGGATGGAGCTATCCCAAGAAGAAGGCGCAATGTGAGACTCAAGAATCTGCTTAAGCAGTTGGGTGGCCTCTTCCCGGGTCTTTTCCACCTTGGTCAATTCCAGGAGCGAGAGAGATGCCAGGCACGTGAAATGGTGACTCAATGGACTCAGTAATGAGGGATTCTCCACCAGTAGTCGGACTAATTCCTTCGAAGCCCAAACAATATCCGTGGCGAGAGCTGACGGCATGAAGAGATAAGCCAGAAGCCTGCAGTGCCAGTATGCTAGATGCACAACCGGGAAGTCGGCAGGAGTGATGTCAGGGGGGAAGTCTGCCCGCCACATCTCCATGTTGACATTGAAAGCAGCTGAAGCTGCGGCGCCGCTGCCTGGGCCAAGGCTCTCAGGAGCTGTCAAGGAAGCTGGCAGCCAGTGTCCGATAATATACGACAGCACTAAAGGTTGGTTAGAATGCGAACTCTAGACATATCCACGGTAAGATACTCACTGATAAACCGGTAAATAGCTTCTCCGAACACAAGCTTGAGACCAGCTGAGAGCGTAACAGTGTCGTTAGGAATCATCATCGGATCCGCAGTACCAATGGCATTCCATCGATCAATAATGACCAAGATCCACCAAGCCCTGATCCCCAGAACGTGATCAGTGTCCAACTCCGGCTGCACATCGATGCTCGAATCAATGTGAGAGCGCTGCAGGGATAGGGAATATGCAACACCAACAGCTCTACCAATGAGCGAGGACTTTGAAGGCCCGGGATGCTGTCCTTTGAGGGAAGCTGGGCCGTGGTTGTCAGCCTCAATAATCATTAGGATCAAAGTTTGCAGATGAATGAGGTCAGAGACGGTAGAGCGCTCTGCTGTCTCGGCTTCCCAGTCGCCAAGCAGACGGTTCGCTGCACGGGAGTCACCCTCAGCGTTTGGAACTGCAAAGGATTTCATAGTCGCATTGAGTGCTTCGATGAAGGCCTCCCGTAGAAGGAGTGAGCATTGCCCAAGTTGCTCTTGAAGTCGAGATTTGACGGCAGGAAGAAGAGGGAAGGTGTGGTGGATGATGGAGAGGTATCTACTTTTATTAGCATCTGAAATCTGTATGAAAGTGTGTTCGACTATGCTTACCCATGGAAGATACCATCGTCGACGTCTCGCCCTTGCTCTTCCTGGGCATCAGCAGAAAGTCCGTCCATCATTGCAGCTGGTCTGGAACCATCAGGACGAGGAGCTATTGGTTGGGGACCTAGGCCGTTGGCTGAATACGATGAGGTACGATAGCGGTCCGAGGGGGTTTGATAAGGTTGAATTGGTCGAGGTTCAGATCCCCAGGCAGTTTGCCTGTTGTTTGAAGGGGTGCTGAAGCCGTCCCCCGAAATGCTTGAGAAAGGTCGTTTCCTCGAACTCTCATCACCAGGGATAGCGGGAGAGAAGCCACCAGACGACTCGCGCCTTGGGAGACCTGCAAGGCCTAGAGCCTCACTGACACTTTGACCGCCCAACTTGCCTTCAATGTGATGAATTCTGTCTGCAAGTTCTTTGATATACCTAGTAAGACATGTCAGTGTCGAACTCACCACAAAGACATAATTCACAAGACAACCCACCCTTTGCTGGGACCTCTCTTCTGAGGGACGCGACTGAACAAGCATCGTATACCAGACCGTCGGCAATTCGAGCATGGCTCTTCTCCATTCTCTGACGAAGCATCACACTTGACCTTTTTCCGGCGACACTCATCACATGCCCGCGAAACCTTGGAACGCTTACGGGGTGGTGTGTTGTCAACGACACCATACGTCTGTGCCACGCTTATCTGAACATGTTGATGTTGAGGGAGATGTGTCGGTGGTGTAGGAGTCTCGATGTAGCTCTGTTGTGCGGTTTCGGTCTGGGTCATAACTTGCTGTAGGCTCGGATCTTGGTTCTGCAGGCTGTGAAGAGTCTCGAGCTCGGGATCTTGAGGCTCTATGCGCGCCTCTTGGTTTGTAGTCCCGGTAGGGAGGCTTGGGCCAAATCCTTGAGTTGCCAGACCCTCGGTCAATTGAGCAGCCAGCTGCAGCTCCTCTGCACTGACTGATGGTCTCTGAATCCCTCGCTGTGGTGTCGGGGGCTCTTGCAGGTGCTCACGCAACTGCTCAAGGTCTTGATCGCGATCGTAGACGCCGCTATCCTGAGCATCCACGTTAGGAGAGGGGTATTGCTGCATCACGACTTCCTCGCCGTCCATGCCGGGCTCGCGTTTCTCCATTCTCTAATAAGAGGCAGATGCACTTTGCAGGCGGATAGAGACAAAACCCAGGTGACACTGCTAGACTGAAGGCTGCTTGGTAATACCAACGGTGGGTAGGCGGTGCTCTATCGCCAATATGTTCACGACAACAGTACCCGCCTTATTGAGTATTACGAATAGGTGTGAACCGAGAAATGGTGGAAGGAGTGTTACAGGAGGAAAGCACGAAGTTGAGCTTCACGTTGTAGATGCAGTGACAAGGTCGCTCTGTGGACTATGCTGGCGAGCTATGAAGCTATGTTTCTCTCGTGAGAGGAGGCCCTTTGCAGGAAAGATGGTGATGCCTTCGTCTGGGTCGCGTCGCGATGCGATTGAGAGGCTCAGCGCGTGGTCTCAATGGAAACAGACAATGTATTCTTGAATGCGACAAATGTCAGTAACAGCTTGCTCACAACATCAATCAAATCAATTGAATTGCTCGATTTGACAGAAAAGTAAAGTAACATTTTATTGTGACATGTGAAAAAGCGCAAACAGCGCGACGCCAGAGCCCATCAAGCACACAGCAGACATTTCTGCGTGTGTTGTGGCATCGAGCGAGGGAGACAGTGCCAAGAAAGCGCGATGCAGAAAACATACCTCTAAAGTAGGAAGGATGGTCGACGATTCTCCGATGGAAGAATTGATGATGCTGCTTCCGTGGCGGAAGAGGAAGAACCAGCGGCCGATGGGAGAGTGGAAGGGAACGGAGGTTTTGACGGCGCGGTGCTGCCATGTAGGCAGGAAATTTTTTCCCAGGCCAAACCACGTCTGTTTGGCGGGAATTCTAACAGTGCCTATCAGTCGCTACCAGGGTCCAGAAAGAGGTAGGGTTAGAAGAGAGTGGGCGTGAATGTAGTGACTTAAGCGGCACGTGCCTAATCTCACAAGGGCGAGGAGAAGAAAGGAAGAGGAAAAAGATTGTTGCGAGAGGGAAGGAAGGAGAGGCGGGAAGCAGGTCCGTGAGCCTGAATCAAGAACCCCACTACCTAGGTAGAGAAAATGTTAGTGCTAGACAGCCAATGAGATAGCTCCATTTTGGACTGGAGCTTCCCGAGGTCCAACCTGGCCACCTTTCTCAGGTCTTTCCATATGCCATCATTTCGCAAAGCTTGCTGCCTCGGCGCCACTCTTTTCAATGTGACAGATGAGCAGAATCACTTGATGATATACATCATCGAGGACGTACCTATCAATGTTCAAACCAAAGCCACAGGAGATGACTCGGCGAACTCTTTGCATGATCCTAAGACACGTACATCACGATGCCCTAGAGAGATCTTGACTGGGGTGTTTGTCTTCAAACGGTGTCTCTTCCCGATAGAAATAGCCGTCTCGAGCAGCTAGGTTCAGCCATTGATTGCGCTAGGTGTTCGCTCAGCGGCGCAGTCGGAAACTACAAGCTGACCATTCACCGATGTACACAGGAAGATAGCCGCACCACTGCCTTTCCTGTGTCTGTTGGCTTTCACCTTTAAAGATCGATCTCCGCGGGCCGACCAGTTTTCCTCACCAGGATGACATACCCATGCTTTCAACGACACGTGGCCACTAAACGTTTTGATTCCCTCTCTAACCTCGATTCTCGCGTTTTCGGTCCGTCTTGTTGTGCGTAAGGCGGATTCAAGTGATGTATCAGTCCATTCAAGGATATGATGGATTGTGAGTGGTTTCTCAACTGCCCTTCACCAAAGTGAATGCACCCTAGTGAATACGACAGCCGCGAGCGCAGCAATTTGTTTCACTGATTCCGAGATCTGAAATCAGATCTGGCACACGTGCATTATATATGAATCAAATCAGTGACACAACAAGGAGAAGCCCCTCATTGGCTCTGGCAGCCTTCTACCGACAAGATATTACACAAGCGTGTTTGGAGAGGAGAGCGGCCTACTGATATATACCCTAGCTCTCGCTAAAGAGTACCGGCCACGGACTGGCTTCACATTTGCCTCCGAACTACGAAGGTACGTTATCAAGAAAGTCTGCTGTCACTGGAAGCGAGCGCCACCACCTTCGGCAGACCAATGCGAGAAGCCCCCAGCTGGGTTGAACCGACGGAGAATGCACCGGTGTTCGGATGTGCTTGTCGGAACAGATGTTGAGAGAGGTGGTCAAGACCTAACCTTCTGCTTGTGAAGACTCGGACTTAAGTGACTTAAGTCGAGGATCGCTGCACTAACCATTGGGTGATTCTGCATGACAATTGACCACCTTAGCAGATTGAGTTTCTTTTATTGCAGGTCTCATCTTTCCGACTGGCTCTCATGTAAATGCCTGGGTTAGGCAAAACATGGGATTGTCAACTCCTTTGAGCCTCTTCGTGCCTGCATTGCCAATCACTTGTATTCCAGCCTTTATTTCCAATCATATAGATTTACCTTGAGTAACCTTTTGTGAGGATGTAAGAGGTAGCCATTGCACGTGAAAATGAAAGTGGTCCAAAGCTATCGCGATAATGTCGCGGCTAAACGAATGAGGGGTTGCCCCCCTGACCAGAGATGCCTGAGATGCTCCAGCCGTAAAGCCACTTCTGCTAATGATTTTGAACGACTTTCTTACGAGGGTTAAAGATCAGATCTCAGATACTATTCGGAACGAAACCATCCTTCATCCGGATGGAGCCAGGGTTTGTGTACAAGGTGTAGTAGCAAGCCAGGCGGTTTGACCATAGATCCGCAGGACCGCCATTCTGGCTGGTCTTTTACGATGTGACATATACCAAACAGCTACGGTTTCGTTTCATAAGCATACAGGACTATAATCAGCAGTAGTTGTGCGGGTCATTGGAGTAGAAATATGTAAGGTTACTGAGCAAAGTCATAGTAGTCTCAGCCATCTTGTATCATAGCCTACGGAGGATCTGATTCAAATGACTACGAATTCACTGGGTTCAACACGACTGTATGAATTTTAAGCTAGATCATGGCCTTTCAACTGAAATATGGCACGTCAACCAATAAGTCTCACATACTGAAAAAGGGCAGCAGTGCCTACTGCTGACCAACACCCAATCAAGGTATCACATAGCACACATACAAAAAGAAGCGTGCGGGGCGCGAGAAGGTACTGAGAATGAAAGGGGTAGCCATTCTTGTATTGTAGTAGTAACAGCTAAATGAAGCGAGCAAAGTGAAGTAATAGCGAAATAAGTCACCTGACTGCTGGCAGGGGTAAGACCTCGCTCCCCCAACTCAATACTTCATGAACAGCGGATCCACCCTCAGGATTTCCACGTCGTCAAGTGACATGCCGAAGTAGGCAATCCCTGACCAAAGCTGAAAGTTGAAGCCATAGCTATCGAACTTGCCCGAAGAGACGAACGGAAAATCTGTCGACGTGAGAGTCGCCGTAAGCGAGACACCAGATTTGTCTTCATTTGTTCTGCAGTAAGTCGCCAAGGATATCGGGATGTAATGCGACAAATGGATCAACAGACATTTGGAGCTATGCCGGTCCGGAACACTCGATCTTGTCAACATACAATGAGAAGGGTCAGATGTCTGGACGATTCTTCAGAGAGGATTTTTCTCCTCAGCTTTCATAGAACAGCAACAGCAAGCCACATGGATGTATTCTGTTGTTCAGATATATACTCACGGAGTTGGCTCTATGACAGCATCTGTTCTCAGAACTGGAAGATGAAGATATTCTTAAAACTGTATATAGAACATCGCGATCATGTCCAAGAACCCACCTGGTTGGCTACGGATCGGGGATATGATTTGAGCCGCGCTGACACAGACAGACGAGACCTTGAGTATCATATGGTATGACATGCCGTACTTCTTGCCCCTCCTCGCCCAAATTTTAGTCGAACTATTAGAAGGATCACAAAAGATGCCGCAGTGTGTTATATACATGTGACAAAAGAGAGCCCCGC